ACCGAACAGAAGAATTTACAAAACAAATTGAAAAGCGATTTCCCGAAGGTTCCCCAAGCGTCGCTTGCACTAGGGTTGCTTGCTTCGGCGTTCAAGACGTGAGTGGGTCGGCCGAAGTTTCGTCACGTGCCCGCCCATGCCACATCACGGGCGCCCGTGGGCCCCACACCGCACAGCTTGCACATTATTTGCGTTGGCTGCATTGCCAAAGCACGGCTCCCAACAAATAATTCACACCACCTGTCCTGCACCATGGAACTACCTTCCTGTAGATACCTCCGCATCACCCGTAATACATAATCGCGTTTCACAACATAGTTACCAGCACATAGCAAACGCCGAAAAGCTCTCACCGCATAGCTTAAACAGCATGGCTACTACAACATAGACACGATACATAGCTGAAGACGCAAAACTGCAACCGCTGGAGTTCAACACCGCGCTCTCCGTTGTATGAGATGGATCATCGACTTGTTGGTTTTATGCCGTTGGGCCCCGATTAAAACCGCCAGGCTTTTAGGAAAGTCTGCAATATTCGGAACTTGTGGTTCGACATCGGCTTCCAGGAACCGCTGCAGACCGATAGCTGATCAGCACCAAGAGATCCCAGAATAGAGAAAAGATCCCCAGGGAACAACTATTTTTCTGCAGCGGTAAGTTTACGTCGTGCCAAATCGGCGGCGACACCAGCGTGGGCGCGCGGAATGACGGCGACCAGTGGTCAGGAATCGGCCGGCGTCGACGGGGAACGCGCGATCGTTCACGGCTGAGCGATCCAAACAATATCAACCATCGGCGCGCAGGCCGTTTACGACACTTGCCAGCACAATCGAAAACGGTACGCGTTTTGTTTCACCGTTTTGGGGGAGCCTCCAGGTAGTGTTCTCGTCGCCACTGCACTGGGTCCGCCTCGAACTTCGAATCAAAACGCGCCCTGAGAACCATTCGGGTGGCGCGCGAACAATTTGCGCCGCAACGCGGCACGCGGCAATCCGAACCCGCGTCCTGGCAACCCGGGCTACGGTATGACGAAGTGTCCCGCATGCAAGACAAGGGGGGAAGACGAGAGGCGGCCGAAGAGACAGGACGGAAAAGAGAGAGGTGTCACGCGGAGAGGCCGCACCCAAGGGAGGAGCTGGCGGCAGCAGTGCAATTCGGGACCCAGCAAGTAGAGGCTGCAGGAGCGGCGGGCCACCAGGGTGGCGGGCGGGAAGCGCGGTGGGACAGGCCTGGTGGGGGCGTCGCTGGACTGCTGCGGCCAGCTGGGCGCGTGGTCCCGTGCCGGTGCGGCGTGGCGGAGGCGAAGCGCGACCGCACCTTGGGGGGGGGGCGGCGAGGCGGCGAGGTGCGGGCGAAAGAGACCAGGCAAAGCCGAGCGGCTGGAGAGTGCCAAGCGCCCGGCTGCCGCAGAGCGGCGCGTGGAGGCCACGCACACGGCCAGGGACGGCGGGGGGAAACCGAAGAGGCGACGAGCCGAGCCCAGGACGGGCGCACGCATCGCAGCCGAGGACAGGGCGGGGCCCTGTGGAAGCGGGATCTGGGCGCGGGTTCCCAGCGGGCAGCTGAGAGGCTCAGAGGCAAAAAGGCCGGGCGACGCTGCGGCGGCGCCCTCCAAGGTGGGACAGCGCGAGCTGCCGGGCGGGGGCGGTAGCCAATCTGCATGGCCCATGGCCAGTGGAGCGGCGTGTGCGCCAAACGAACTGGGGCCAGTGCGGCCCGAGGTGGCGCGCGAACATGTAAGTTGAGGGTGAGAGCAAATAAAGAACGGGTGAAGGGACCTGAAAGGAAACGGCCAAACATCAAAGGCCAACGATGATGGCACCAAGTGCCAACATATGCGAGGCTTGAAAGACCAAGGTGCGCAGCGCAAAGCGCTAACGTAGTCGTGCATACATATGCATGGATAGTGTGTATATATATATAGAAAGAAAGAAAGAAAGAAAGAGAGAGAGACAGAGAGACCCACAGCACAGAGAGGGAGAGGCATATCACTACGATCCCTGGTATCATCCACTTCTCTTTCCCCTCTTCCAACCCATCCTCCCCGTTTCCCCATTACCCCTTATCCAACTGTTCCTCGCAGTTCCTTCCTCGTCCTCCCCGCCTCCTCCAAAGAAGGAGGATGTGGCGGTGGAGCAGCTCCTCCCAGCTCCCTCCTCCCGCCGCCACTCCGCCTCCACGCGACCTTCCCCTCTGCTCCACTCGACGCCCTCCCATTCCACCAGTCGACGTCGTCACCATCTTCTTTCGCCGGCCCTTCTTCTCTTCCTTCCAGACACGCCTCTGATCGCCAACTGTAACAGACCATGGGATAGGAGGATGACCTTTGCACTAACAATCACATTTAACATGAAATGCGAATAAGATTTTCGGGCACGTTTGACCGACCAATGTCCAGAGCCCTCCTTCCTAGAGCCCTCCTCCTCCACTCGTCTTCGCCGCCGTAGCGGCCGCCCTGACTGCCATCGTCGTCGCTGTGTCCAGTCGCAATCCCTGCGAGCCTCATCTTCGCGGTCACGGCGCCCAACAGCACCGATAGCTTATCGTTGAAGCCACCCAAAGTCAGCGTGATGGATCCTCCCAGGAGGCGGACGAGGCGGAGGAGGGTTCCCCTTCAGCTCCCACCTGCCTCCAAACATTATCATTGTTTTGATCCTCCCCCTGATCTTCATCCTCGTCCTCCTCCCGTTCCTCCTGTTCCTCCTCCTCCTTTTTCTTCGCTTCCTCTTCCTCCCATTCCTCATTCCTCCTCCTCCTCCTCCTCCTCCTCCATCCTCTTACCCCAAATTATGTGGCGAAGGGGTCCTCCTCCAGGGGTGGGTGCGGAGGGGATGCGCACGGAGCGAGAAAGGGCAACAAGGATAACGAACAAGGTCGGGGACCATTCTCTCCGCGTGCAACGAACCTCTGGTAAGGCGCCCCTGTCTCGGGAAACAGACCCTGCGTACCAAACACATCCGCCACCAAGTCCATTCACATCATCACGCACCCCCTCCCTCCATTCCAACTTCGCTAACTTCGCTCACCCTTTCCTCTCGCATCACCGGCTTTCCCCACTGATGTTCAGTTTGTTTTGGTTGTGTTTCTCTCTCTCTCTCTCGACATGTATGTATGAATACAGATTTATATGTTGGCCAAGCAGTGTTTGCATTTCGGGTTTCTCATGTTTCTTCCAAGGAACTGGGCCTGTGCGTCGTTCTGGCGGCTACATTGCCGCCGTCACCGCCCCGTCGCCGTCGCCGCCCCGTCGCCCCGTGTCGTCGGCCTGGCGGCTACAGTGAACCCGTAGAGGAAGATGCGACACGAGGGCGCAAAAACATCGGAAGGCCACGTCGAGCGGTCGCGCTAACGAAAGCGGCCAAGCATGGGCCGAAGTGGAAGGATGCAGGGGCTGCCTCGGGAAATGGTTCGTCCTCATGATGCGAGCTGAGCGCCGTCGCCGCGCGATGTCTGGGGCAGGGCGTCGGTCCGGCGGTTGTGCAGCCGCCGTCGCCGCTCCGTCGCCTCCTTGCAGGAATTGCGCGGCGTAGTCCGCACTGCAGGGATCACGCCGCACAGATTGCTCCAGAAATCTTACAAAAAATAGACGGCACAGCAACCACACCGATGGCACCACATACATTGCACAGCGTAGTCGCACCACATAGATTGCACAACCTAGACTGTTCAAAATGACAAGGATCGTAAATTGCACCACGTATACCCAATCGCATAGATTTCACCATGCATGTTCAATCACACAGGTTGCTCAACGTAAGTTTGAATCTTTAAACATGAAAATAAACTCTACCCCCATGGATTCTCGACCCCATTTGACGTATTGCAATACACATATGATTCTGCCCCATCGCCCATCCTAAATATGAACTCGTATCATCCCAGCCCAACCTGTACCGACCTCCCCCCGCCATCCCCTGCAACAAATAATATGCGCGCGCATTTGTTTATCACAAATCAAAAGTTCTCAAAACAAAGATTGCGAAACAGCGATCCGAAATGCACACGCGCGTGCCCCACGCGCGCATGCCAAAACCCTTTGTCCCAAAACCTTCGGTTTCGTAAAGGTTTCCAATAATACGGTCCAAATAATAAATGAAACACATGGTTTCGCAACACGGATTCCCAAACAAACACATTGCGCGCGCTCTTGCCAAATCTTAAAACATAAAAAAGGGTGCTTCTACAGTTTCAGAACATGATACCAAACGGCCTTCGCGCTCGCGCATGTCGAAGTCGTTCGAATACCTTTGCGCGCGCGCTGGGGTGGCACGATCCGTGTAAAAAATACCATGCTGGCAGGCCACTCTCGTGCGTCAGCCGCGCGCGCATTTCGAAGTCCTTCCAAAACGTTCGTCACCGACGCGAAAACGCCGTCATCGTCGCCGGCGTGATTAGCATCGGCGCCGTCACTGGCTGCCCCGTCGTCGCTGTCACCATCAACACCAGCATCGCTACTATCATCATCGTGTGTACCGTTGTCGACGTTGCAGTGGTACCACGCCCGCCCACGGCGACGACTCGCACTGAAGTGCTCGTTGGCATGTGCCGAGCGGTCAGCGCCACCGCGTTCGCGTCGGTCGCGCCAAACTAGCATAAATGCCCGCTGGGATGTGCCGAACGGTTAGCGCCAACGCGTTCGCGTCGGTCGCGCCAAACTATCTGACCGATGAACACGCGAGTGTGCGCGGCCGCAGAGATGCACCAGCCAACGCCAAGCACTCATCGCAATCGTTCCCCCATGGGTTTTGCAAACCAGAAGGCGGGTGGGTGGGTGGGATGATTGCAAGCACTGGAGTTGCTTTAAATCCGGCAAGTGAATCGCACAACATAGGTTTTCCCAAAAAACTATACCCCCCTCCAGATTATCGAGACCCCTTTTCGTGCTGCAATATACATATGTATCTGCCCGATATCCCATCCTACATATGAGCTCATACCACCCCAGCCAGGCAAAGATCGGCACCCCTCGTCATCCTGTACTACAAACGACTATAGGCGCGCACGCGCTCACTGAAAATCGCAAGCTGTCAAGAATCCCTGGCAACCAAAAAAACCAAATGCACGCGCGCGTGGGTCGCGCGCGCATGCCGAAATCCTTCAAAAAACCTTCGGTTCCGTAAGGATATTAAACTCGAGCGCGCACAAAACATATGGTCAAAAACACGGCTTCGCAACGCGGATTTCCAAACAAAAATTCACGCGCGCTCTTGCCAAGTCTTAAGAAACAGCAGAAACATGTTTTCCAACTGTTTCATGAGATGATACCGAACGGCTTTCGCGCGCGCATGTGGAAATCGTTGGGAGAACGGGTTTCACGGGCGCTTGCCTGCTGCGCGTTTCGAACCAGGGGGTGCTCCCCCCCCAACACTCGGCGCCGCCGATCAACGCCAGAGGGGACTCCGCTCCCCAAGAAACCCCTGCCCCTCCCGAACCTCCCCCCCTCCCAAGGGGGAAGGGGGGGGGCGTCGACCCCACTTTCCCTTGGCGCCGGCGCCGGCGGCCGCCAGCAGCGCTTACGGCGGGGACGCAGCAAAGATGACCAGAGGCAGCCCAGGGGGGGGGGGGGTTCAAACCCCACCGCTCGCCCCGGGCGGTGGGAGAAAGCGGGGGGGTTCAACCCCCCCCCCAGGCTCCGTGGCTGGCGCTGGCGGCGGCCTGCAGCGCAGGCGCTGGTGCTGGCGACGGCGGGGGCGCGGCGACGATTACCGCCGCTACCACCACCGCCGCCACTACCACCACCACCACCGTCTCAGCCTACCACCGCCACCACCACCACCACCCACCACCACCACCAACCCACCGCACAACCACCACCACAACCAACACAGCCACCCACCACAACCACCACCACAACTCACCATCACCACCACCACCACCACAAAAACCCATCACCACTACTACCACCACCACTATCTACCACACCACCAACACCACTGCCACAACCACCACCAATACCAGCAGCACAACCCACCGCCACCACCAAAAACCACCACGCCACCACCAGCACCACCGCCACCACCACCACCGCCAGCACAACCTCCACGAACCACTGCCACCACCACAGCCCACCACCACCACCACCACAGCCCACCACCACCACCACCACCACCGCAACCACCACCACACCACCACAACCACAAACACCACCACCACAATTCACAATCACCACCACCACAAAAACCCACCACCACTACCACCAACACAACCACTATCTACCACACCACCATCACCACCGACACAAACACCACCACCACCGGCAGCACAACCCACCATCACCATCACCCACCGCACCACCACCACAGCCACCACCGCCACCACAACTCCCACCACCAACTCCACAATCCACCGCCACCACCACAACCCACCACCACCACCGCCACAAACCACCACCACACCACCACCAACCCCCCACCACCACAATCACAACCCACCACCACCAACACCACAAACCACCGCTACACCACCGCCAAACCACCACCACCACCACCCACCACCACAACCACCACAACCACAACAAACCACCACACAACCACCACGCCACAACCGCCACCACCGCCAGCACCACCACCACAACCCACCACCACCACCACCACCGTCGTCCTCGTCGACGTTCCCCGCCGCCGCCGCCCGCCTGCGCCGACGCAAACCCTGGCCCAAGGAGAGGGGAAGCAAGGGAATAAAGGGGGGGGCTCGAGGCCCCCCCCCTCCGTCACGGGGGGGGATGGGAGGGGTTCGAGACCCCCCCCCTCCGTCCACGGGGGGGGAGTTCCCGTTACAAACCCCGCCCCCACCTCCAAACGACAACAGGGCGCGCTCTTTCAAATCGTTCGAACGCCCTTGCGCGCGCGCTGGGGTGGCACGATCCGTGCCAAATAACACCATGACGGCCGCTCTCGCGCGGCAGGCGCGTGCGCATTTCGAAGTCCTTCCAAAACGTTCGTCGCCGACACGAAAACGCCGTCATCGTCGCCGGCGTGATCAGCATCGGCGCAGTCACTGGCTGCCCCGTCGTCGCCGTCAGCATCGCCACCAACATCGCTACTATCATCAGCATCATCGTGTGTACCGTTGTTAACGTTACCATGATACCACGCCCGCCCACGGCGACGACTCTCACTGAAGTGTTCGTTGGCATGTGCCGAGCGGTCAGCGCCACCGCGTTCGCGTCGGCCGCGCCAAACTAGCTGGACGCTGCGCGCGCGAGCATGCGGGGGCTTGCGCGGCCGCAGAGATGCACCAGCCAACGCCAAGCACTCATCGCAATCGTTCCCCCATGGGTATTGCAAACCAGAAGGCGGGTGGGTGGGTGGGATGAATGCGCGAGCAGTGGAATTGCTTTAAGTCCGGCAAGCGAATCGCACAACATATATTTTCCGTTGCACCTTTGTATACAATGAATCGACTCTACCCCCCTCTGGGTTTATCGACGCCCCTTTCCGTGATGCAATTTACATATGATTATGCCCGATCGCCCATTCTACGTATAAGCTCATACTACCCCAGCCGGGCTGGCATCGCCCCCCCCCATCATCCTGCACCGACGAATTATTATGGACGCGAGCCCGCTCATCGAAAAT